GAGATATTTCACAATTATCCATTACCTTAATTTAGATTGTAAAACTCATAGCACCTTTATCAACCGATACTTTGCAAAAAAGTAAGAATTAATCTGCAAAACATCTTTAGACGTTTAAATTACTGCATAAAACACTTAAAAAGCCAAAAATCCTAAAATTCTCAAAATTGTTACATAACACCTTTATCCACTCGCGTCTTCAATTATTTCACTCATGGTTGAATTGTTTATTTTTTTTAAAATTTATTCATTACTTTTTTTAGACATCAGATGTTTCCGTTTTTGAAGTAAACATTCGCTTCGTCGGTGGCCTTTTAGCATGTTACGCTTTAACGGGAGACCCAATTTTCAAAATGAAAGCTCAACAAATCGCCGATAAACTTTTACCGGCCTTTGATACGCCCACGGGGATTCCCCACGCTTTGGTCAACTTTAGAACTGGGGTACGTATCGAAATGTTTAATTAATCGTTTTTTTAATTATTCGTTTTATTAATAGGGGAGTAAAAATTACGGATGGGCGAGTGGTGGATCGAGTATTTTATCAGAATTTGGTACGTTACATTTAGAATTTGCTTATTTAAGCGATGTAACTGGGAAATCCGATTATCGAAATAAAGTTGATCATATTCGGCAATTTTTGATGCAAAAGGATAAACCGAAAGGATTGTACCCGAATTATCTTAACCCGAAAACTGGAAATTGGGGCCAACGTAATTAGATTTGCGTTTTAAATCGATCTTAATTTACATGGAATTATTTTTAGATCACATGTCAATGGGGGCTTTAGGCGATAGCTTTTACGAGTATCTATTAAAAGCTTGGATTCAATCGAACAAAGAAGATAACGAAGCGAGACAAATGTACGATGATGCAATGGCGGCGATCACTCAACATATGCTTTTTACGTCGAAAAATGGGCTTTCGTATTTCGCTGAATTAAAATTTGATCGACCGGAACATAAAATGGATCATTTGGGGTGTTTTTCAGGTGGTTTACTGGGATTGGGGGCTCAAACTCTTAAAAACGAAGTTTCTAACAAATACATGGATATCGCTAAGAAAATAACGGAAACATGCCATGAATCTTACGATAGGAGTACGACGAAATTGGGTCCTGAGTCGTTTAGATTCACCGATGGGATCGAAGCGAAAGCTTTAAAAAGTTCCGAAAAATATTATATTTTACGACCGGAAGTTGTCGAGAGTTACTTTTATATGTATCGATTTACGAAAGATCAAAAATACCGCGATTGGGGGTGGGAAATGGTCCAGGTAAGTTAACATAATTAATATTAAACAACAAAAATTGATTTAATTTCGTAAAAAAAGGCTTTAGAAAAGTATTGTCGGGTTGACGGTGGTTATACAGGGATTAAAAACGTTTATACTTATGATCCTCTTCAAGATGACGTCCAACAAAGTTTCTTTTTAGCGGAAACTTTAAAGGTAAAATTAATTAATTCATTAATTCTATTTTAATTCTTTATTTTTTTCAGTATTTGTATTTATTATTTTCTGATGATAGTCTCCTACCTCTCAATGAATGGGTTTTAAATACAGAGGCGCACCCCTTACCGATTAAAGGTGTTAATAATTTTTATAGAGAAGCTGTGTGAAAGGTTTTAAATAGGACAATTAAAAAAAAACAAGTAAATTAATTAACTTAAAAGAAAACAATTAAAAGAACATTAATAAATAGACAAGAAAAAACTTGAAACATTTAGTGAGTGGAAAATATTTTAATAATGTTTTTATTAAATAGGAATTAATTAATATAAAATATAACTAACGAAGATTATTTATTAAAAAAAATTAATGCAAAATAGTAATATATTCGAAGAACAAAAAACTCTTTAAACGTCTTTTTAATCGTAAGGGTGCTGTGATTTTGAGGTGATCAGTGCGCGAATGCATGTTGATGGTTTTCTTTATGATTTAAGTAAAAAAAAAATTCATTTCAAACCCAGAATTGTAAATAAATAGATATAGAGACTGACGCATAACATCCCGTTTATTTAATTTGATAAAAACAAATTAATTGTTACTGCTTTTTTCGATTTAATTTGTAAGCATCAATTAATGTATGGATAAAATAAAAAAAATTGTAAATAAACATTTTTAAATTTAAGTAAATTGCGAATAAGAACGATTTTTTGGGGACCATTTAGAAATGGGAGAGAAAAAATTAATTAGCACATTCCATTAATTAAAGAAATTAATTAAGGCAGCTTTTTTTTGCGCAGTAACAACTAATTAAACAAACACAAAAGATTCATTAATATAAAAACCAATTATCTTAGTAGTTCTAATCAAAATTCGAAATAAATTGTCCACAACTGTTCCTACAAATTCATTTAATAACTTCAAAGTCAAAAAAGTAATTTGGTTATAATCAAACTTGGATGTAAAATGTTGTATGTTGTATATAAATAAAAAAATCGTTTCTTTTCTAATTAAACATTTGTTTTAAACACTCATTGAATACTCTCTAAATAGTGCACTTAGAGTTGTATAATTGTAAAAAAGATAGACGTAAATAAATTAATCCTTTCAAATTTGCATAAAAAAGAAGGAATAAGTGTACAATGATAAAATCGATTTAATTCGTTTTAATTTAATTTTAAATTGTTATAATTATTGTTTTTTAATTTTATTCTAATCATTTTGTTGCATTATAAAAGGGATATTTTGGAAAACAAATTTAAATTTAATGTTTTTGTTTAGTACCTGGTAGATAATTTTGCAAATAAAAAGAAATAAATTTATATGAAAGGAATATTTTCTGTTTTTATTTCTTTAAATTATTTTAAAACATTTAATTTCTTTTTAATTTTTACATGTAAAGATAATATTTGAAAACATAAACGTTTGTGTTGATTCTTCGAGTTAAGATTATTAAGTCCATTTAAACTAAGAGATAACCAGACCGCTTTTTTATCTTTCTTTAACGATAGTAATATGCGATAATAGTTAAAAATTAAAGCTGGTAGCAACAAGGAATGCGTCAGCGGTCAAGTAAACAGCACGCGATCTAAACTGAGAAAATGAGGAGCTGTTCACGAGACTTGTGCATGCCGAGTTTGTTATAATCGCGTGATTTCATCATAAAATCTACAGAACAAGGCCAGAGAACCTAATTATGTACTATTTATCGGTTCATTTTAGTTATGAAATAAATCAAATAAATCATTTTAAATTTTATATATATAATAATCTTTAATTAACAACGTTTCAGACATCGTGTTCATTGGTCCAGGAGTTACGATCTCAAAGCTGTTCTTAAAAATCTCTCTTCATTCTTGAGATTATAATTTTTGAATTATTTTTTAAAAAATCTTGAAAAATCGATGCTTTGATGAAATATTCCATGAAGAAAACCGTTCATGATAATGTCTATTAGTAATTTTTGAATTCAACATCAATTTTTATGATTTTATTAAGTTACCAAATTTCCACCATAATTTTTGAAAAATCGTAGAAAANTGACAATCTATTTGGCAACATCTGAAGAGTAATCGTGCCAATTTAGAGTTTTTTTTTAATGAACGTTAACTGAGATATAGGCTTTTAAAGAGCATGGTGAAATTTGCCAAAAAAAGCTTAAAATCAAAATAACTCGAAAACAAAAAATGGTAGGTACCAACAACTTTTATCAAAGTCAACATATTTTTTATGTATAATTGAAAGGTGTAATAAAAACTATAGCATTCCATTTAAAATAACGAAGTTGTGGTCTACTTCCGGTAGATCGGAAGTGGTGATCATCTTGAAAATATTTTAGATTGAAAGTTTAGAATGAACAACCCATGCTACCAAAATTTCAAACCTGTAGGAATAGTGGAACCTAAAAAAGTTCTAACGAACCAGTTACGTGAGACACCCTGTATACTGTATCTAACTTATGGGCCCTGCAACCAATCGTTATGGATACTTTGCCTACTCACTGGTTACTGGAAATATTCATTGCATGCTGTAGTCGTCTATTAGATACTGGAAACATCCACTAGATACAGAAATCATCCACAACATTCTGAACCTAATTACTATGGAAATTTTATAATAACATTTATCGTATAATGGAATCATTTAGTGCGTATTGGAATCATCTCTTAGACACTAGAATCATCTCTTAGACAATGAAATGATTCCTCAGATACTGGAATCATCCTTTAAATATTGGAATCATTCCTTCGACACTAAAACCAACCAGATGCTTCAGGTTTTAATCACTTTTCCAACTACATCTATCTTCTATATACTGGAATCAATCACCAACATCTGAATGTTAAAATCATTCACGAGATATCAGAATGATCCATACATTTCTGGAAACATCAATTTGATACTGGAATCAATTTTTGAATCTATTTATAAAATATATTTATCATTAATATTATGATACTTTTGGAAGGACACATATTTTTTATTTATTTATTTATTTTGATTAAAATTTGTTCTTTTATTTAGATGATGAAACACGCGTGGGATAATTACGTGAGATACGCTTGGGGTAAAAACGAATTGAAACCTGTGACAAAACGCGGACATGGCGCAAGTATTTTTGGAAGTATGCCAATTGGAGCAACGATTTTGGACGGATTGGATACGTTGTACATAATGGGAATGAACGAGGAATTTAAACAGGGGAGAGATTGGGTTGCTAATGAACTTGATTTAGACGTTATGGTAAGTATTTAGTTATTTTAGAGTTATTCGGCATTGTGGCGATTGGACATGAAATTTGATCGTTAAAAAATTTAATTAAATTAAACAAGCAGACAGTAGGTATCTTCGAATGCCTCTTTGTAAACAAGCTTGGACTACCCTTCGGGAAGGTAATTTAGAATACTTTTTAGTACATCTTGTTTTTGAATCATTTATTTAGAAATGCAAATTTTTTAAATTGTCTGCCCGCTTTTTAGCTAATCACTTTTCATGTTACAATTGAAGACGCGAGTGGATGAAGGTGCTATGTAACACGGGAACAATTTTGAGATATTCGCGTTTAAAGTTTTTCGTTTGGAACTTTTTACTATTTATTTCTTTTTTCATATTATTCAATTTATTTCAACAACAAAATATATGACAGTATAATAACTTTACAAAATGAAGATAAGTTAAGGAATTACAAGAAAGAATATGTACATGGCACTTTTATCCACTAAATGAGAGACAAATTTAAAATTTATTACGAATGAAAGATGTCATCCAAAGTATTTTATTATCGCGTAAAATATTTTCGTAATAATATTTGTATTCTTCATGTACAAATTGCGACTGTTGTTTCAAATTCAGTAACTTTTCTTTAGAAATATTGCCATATTTTTCCGAAACTCTGTCTGGATAAACACATATTTCTGTAGTGTTTTTATTTTTTAAGCAATTGACAATTTCAAATTCGGTATTTTCATCCAGACATTCCTTGTACCAATACTCCCCAAACTTTTCCACCCATCGGGTACAAAAACCCGTTCACATTTTTTTAAAGTTTTTTCAATTCTTCCGAAATCTCTATCAGAGTCCAAATAAGAATGTCCAACCTCTGGGAATTTATGATCAATTTTTCTAAACATGCCCTTCAAAATTAGGAGCTGATATAAAGCAATGATATTAAAATTTTTGTTTTGGCCGGCACAAGAATCTGACCAAATTATTAGGTATTTAATCTCAGGGTTACTTTCTTTAATCATTTGGGCGAAATAATACAAACAGCTCGCAATTTCGCTGCTCCCTCTATTGGCAACGTCTTCAGTCCACGTAAAAAAATAAGGTTGTTCTTCTTTTGATATGAAATGTATACCAAAATTGTAAAACCACATCTGTCTCAGATAGAAAGCCTTAGATGTGGTTATTCTTGGCAAAGGCATGGTTTGTTGTAGATCCATGGTGAGATAACCAATTTCGTTGTTGCTTTTAGCTTTTAACCTATCCTTTTTCTGTTCTTCAAACGCCTTTCTGTACCTCTCTTTATGTTCTTCATTGCTTCGTCGCAAGTGCTGCAAGTGTCGCTCTTAGGTTGTCCAAAAGATAAATTAAATTTTGTAGAAAAAATGTTGCTATATGAACATAATTTTACTATGTACTCTTCTGGAAATTTTTTGGTGCGACATTCGTTTATATACAACCTGTACATTTTAGCTNTTTACCAAGTCAATAAATTTATGCCATCATTTTTAAAAAATCGTGAAAAATCGAATTATTAAGATGTTATGATGAAATGTTCAGGGTTTATAGAGGAAAGTATGTAGTTTTCTATGAAAAACACCGTTCATGAAAATCTCATTCCATTCTTGAGATATTAACTTATGAATTCAACCTGAATTTTAGCGACTTTACCAAGTTAAAAATTTATACCATCATTTTTAAAAAATCGTGAAAAATCCAATTATTAAGATGTTAAGATGAAATGTTCAGGATTTATAGAGGAAAGTGTGTAGTTTTCCATGAAGAAAACCGTTCATGAAAATCTCTTTCCGTTCTTGAGATATTAAGTTTTGAATTCAACCTGAATTTTAGCGACTTTACCAAGTCAATAAATTTATGCCATCATTTTTAAAAAATCGTGAAAAACCGAATTATTAAGATGTTATGATGAAATGTTCAGGGTTTATAGAAGAAAGTATGTAGTTTTCCGTGAAGAAAACCGTTTATGAAAATCTCCTTCCGTTCTTTAGATATTAAGTTATGAATTCAACTTAAATTTTAGCGATTTTACCAAGTCAATAAATTTATGCCATCATTTTTAAAAAATCGTGAAAAATCGAATTATTAAGATGTTATGATGAAATGTTCAGGGTTTATAAAGGAAAGTATGTAGTTTTCTATGGAAAACACCGTTCATGAAAATCTCCTTCCATTCTTGAGATATTAAGTTTTGAATTTAATCTCAATTTTTATGGTTTTATCAAGTTGACAAATTTTTACAACCGTTTTAAAAAAATCGTGAAAAATCGAATTATTAAAATTTATTGATGAAATGTTCAGGATTTATAGAGGAAAGTATGTAGTTTTCCATGAAGAAAACCGTTTATGAAAATCTCCTTCCGTTCTTCAGATATTAAGTTATGAATTCAACCTAAATTTTACCAAGTCAATAAATTTATGCCATCATTTTTTAAAAATCGTGACAAATCGAATTATTAAGATGTTATGATGAAATGTTCAGAATTTATAGAGGAAAGTATGTAGTTTTCCATGAAGAAAACTGTTTATGAAAATCTCCTTCCGTTCTTCAGATATTAAATTATGAATTCAACCTGAATTTTAACGACTTTACCAAGTCAATAAATTTATGCCATCATTTTTAAAAAATCGTGAAAAATCGAATTATTAAGATGTTATGATGAAATGTTCAGGGTTTATAGAGGAAAGTATGTAGTTTTCTATGGAAAACACCGTTCATGAAAATCTCCTTCCATTTTTGAGATATTAAGTTTTGAATTTAATCTCAATTTTTATGGTTTTATCAAGTTGACAAATTTTTACAACCGTTTTAAAAAAATCATGAAAAATCGAATTATTAAAATTTATTGATGAAATATTCAGGATTTGTAGAGGAAAGTATGTAGTTTTCCATGAAGAAATCCGTTTATGAAAATCTCCTTCCGTTTTTGAAATATTAAGTTATGAATTCAACCTGAATTTTAGTCATTTTACCAAGTCAATAAATTTATGCCATCATTTTTAAAAAATCGTGAAAAATCCAATTATTAAGATGTTATGATGAAATATTCAGGATTTATAGAGGAAAGTATACAGTTTTTCATGAAGAAAACCGTTCATGAAAATCTCATTCCGTTCTTGAGATATTAATTTATGAATTCAATCTGAATTTTAGCGACTTTACCAAGTCAATAAATTTATGCCAACATTTTTAAAAAATCGTGAAAAATCCAATTATTCAGATGTTAAGATGAAATGTTCAGGATTTATAGAGGAAAGTATACAGTTTTTCATGAAGAAAACCGTTCATGAAAATCTCCTTCCATTCTTGAAATATTAAGTTATGAATTCAACCTGAATTTTAGCGACTTTACCAAGTCAATAAATTTATGTCATCATTTATAAAATATCGTGAAAAATCGAATTATTAAGATGTTATGATGAAATGTTCAGGGTTTATAGAGGAAAGTATGTAGTTTTCCATGAAGAAAACCGTTCATGAAAATCTCCTTCCGTTCTTGAGATATAAACTTTGAATTTAATTTCAGTTTTTATGGCTTTATCAAGTTGACACATTTTTACAACCGTTTTAAAAAAATCGTGAAAAATCGAATTATTAAAATTTATTGATGAAATATTCAGGATTTATAGAGGAAAGTATGTAGTTTTCCATGAAGAAAACCGTTTATGAAAATCTCCTTCCATTCTTGAGATATTAACTTATGAATTCAACCTCAATTTTAGCGATTGTACCAAGTCAATAAATTTATGCCATCATTATTAAAAAATCGTGAAAAATCGAATTATTAAGATGTTGTGATAAAATGTTCAGGATTTATAAAGGAAAGTATGTAGTTTTCTATGAAGAAAACCGTTCATAAAAATCTCCTTCCGTTCTTGAGATATTAAGTTTTGAATTTAATCTCAATTTTTATGATTTTATCAAGTTGAGAAATTTTTACAACCGTTTTAAAAAAATCGTGAAAAATCGAATTATTAAAATTTATTGATGAAATATTCAGGATTTATAGAGGAAAGTATGTAGTTTTCCATGAAGAAAACCGTTTATGAAAATCTCCTTCCGTTCTTGAGATATTAAGTTATGAATTCAACCTGAATTTTAGCGATATGCCATCATTTTTAAAAAATCGTGAAAAATCGAACTATTAAAATTTATTGATGAAATGTTCAGGATTTATAGAGGAAAGTATGTAGTTTTCCATGAAGAAAACCGTTTATGAAAATCTCCTTCCGTTCTTAAGATATTAAGTTATGAATTCAACCTGAATTTTAGCTACTTTACCAAGTCAATAAATTTATGCCATCATTTTTAAAAAATCGTGAAAAATCGAATTATTAAGATGTTATGATGAAATATTCAGGATTTATAGAAGAAAGTATGTAGTTTTCTATGAAGAAAACCGTTTGTGAAAATCTCTTTCCGTTCTTGAGATATTAACTTATGAATTCAACCTGAATTTTAGCGACTTTACCAAGTCAATAAATTTATGCCATCATTTTTAAAAAATCGTGAAAAATCAAATTATTAAGATGTTATGATGAAATTTCAGGATTTATAGAGGAAAGTATGTACTTTTTCATGAACCAAACCATAGATGGAAATTTTTATTTGTTCATGAGATAGAAATGTTTGAGTTCAACCTCAATTTTAATGATTTTAACAAAATCGTATCAACATTTTCCCCGTTATCTACCGACATCATCTCGTTCCTCGCATTCGTCATCATCGTCTATGGTATTAAAATCATTTCTCATTTCTCACCATAACCCTTGACATCTCTCAACACTGTTTATTAAAATCTTTTCTGTCTACTACCAACATCGATTTTGATATCAGTCAACATATTATTATGTAACAAAAATTAAAGAACACAATAACGATATATACAGAATAATATATATATCTTNGTAAAAAATCGTGAAAAATCCAATTATTAAAATGTTAAGATGCAATGTTCAGGATTTATAGAGGAAAGTATGTAGTTTTCCATGAAGAAAACCGTTCATGAAAATCTCCTTCCGTTCTTGAGATATTAACTTTGAATTTAATCTTAGTTTTTATGGCTTTATCAAGTTGACACATTTTTACAGCCGTTTTAAAAAAATCGTGAAAAATCGAATTATTAAGATATTGTGATGAAACGTTCAGGATTTATGGAGGAAAGTATGTACTTTTTTATGCATCAAACCATAGATGGAAATTTCTATTTTTTCATGAGATAAAAATGTTTGAGTCAACACCTTCCCCGTTATCTACCGAAATCATCTCTCTATGGTATCAAAATCATTTCTGATTTCTCACCATAACCCTTGACATCTCTCAACACTGTTTATTAAAATCTTTTCTGTCTACTACCAACATCGATTTTGATATCAGTCAACATATTAATATGTAACAAAAATTAAAGAACACAATAACGATATATACAGAATAATATATATATCTTGCTGACAGGATTTTACTGGATTATTTTAATAAGGTCATATATTTAGTTGCAATTTCAAGATAGGTTATCTTATTAAACGTGTAATTTAAGTCTTAGCAACTAACACCGAATACAAATTCTTTCGTTTAAAAATACTTTGAATACATTTGATATCAAAACAAAGTTCTTATTGTTCATATGGAATTTCACTTGGTTACAGATTAAACTATACCCAAATGGAAAGTTTTAATTGGCAAAAAAATGAAATGACGTAGGTTAATTTTTAAATAAAAAACTATCAATGACACACAATTTCTATTTCAAGTTGAATAGTTCCTTTGTACATTTATTATGATCCATTTATTCTCTTATCGCAATTTATTATAATATTTATCTTTTGTGCCCGAGCTCTCGTGTGCAAGTACGTAAAACGTGAATAGTGATGAATTGTAAATTGTGATCACGTTTTGAGTTGGAGGCTCGATAACTCCCAGAAATCGAGTCGAAGATCGCATGCGCCAAAAAAGTGTTCACATAAATATCGACTCGATGTAGCTTGGACATCAAGTCGAACTTTAATTCGCCACTGAAGCTACAAAAAACAAAATAAGAAAGAATTTACACTTTAAATTTGATTCGAAAATGGAACAATTATCAAAAGATCAAACTATTGCTTTGAGAGAGAAACTTATTGGGTAAGAACTTTAATTTTGTTATTTATACAATTAATAATTCATTATTAATTTGTTGTATATATTATTATTTTTTGTATTAAATTTCATTCTTGATTTGTTGATGAAAGTAAAAAGAAAAATATGAGGTTAAAGTACATAAATTTTGTAATATTATTATAAATAGAATTAATTAAGATTAACTTTGAGTGCTTAAATTTTAATTTTATCTAAATTAATAAGAAAGATAAAGTTGTTATTGTAAAAAATCTGAACTTTGTCAAGGCTATTTCCTAAAATAATCCAATCTGATCAAAATTAATTAATGTAATTTTTTTGATTTAGAAAATCTTGTCAACTTTTCTTTAAAAAGAATCCTTTAAAAATCGTTAGAGCTGAGGGTCAATATATGTACGATGAAAAAGACGAAGCCTATTTAGATTGTATCAACAATGTAGCTCATGGTAAATCAAAAAAAAACGTTTTAAAATCAATGATATTTTTTATAATTAATTTTTTAGTTGGTCATTGCCATCCGGATGTTGTAAAAGCAGGTTGCGATCAAATGAAAATGTTAAACACCAACAACAGATTTTTGCACGACAACATCGTTTTGTGCGCAAAAAGAATCATAAGCACAATGCCCGAAAAATTATCCGTCTGCTTTTTCGTTAATTCAGGATCAGAAGCCAACGATTTAGCCATAAGATTAGCTCAAATTCACACCGGAAATAAAGATATTATCACCCTCGAGCAGTAAGTTCTTTATATTTTTCAAAAATACAACATTCACGAGCTTTTTAGGGAACTTTTTATTACAGTACCAAATCCAGGGTTCCACGAAAAAATTATCGTTGCTTTTGTGTATATTTTTATCTATATTTTAAAATTAAAAAGAAATAATTTAATTGTCTAATGTCTGTGTTTTCATTTTCTCTTGCAGCCTCATTACTTGTTCTTGCAGATGAAGAGATTGAAAGAACCCCGCCGAATTCATTCTTTTGAAGTACAAAGAGGAATAATCCACGATTAATTCATTCACAATTCCTCTAAGATTGTTAGAAAATTAAAAAAAAATTAATTTAATACATAATTAAAAAATTTAAAGTAACAATCTTGGACGGTGGTACATAAAACATTAATTTTGTACATTTTGTGACGTTTTGAAATTTTCGCGTGGACTCGTAGCCTCAGTGGTTTATTTTTCTAGTGCCTACCACGGACATTTGACCTCTCTCATTGAAATTTCTCATTACAAGTTCAATCTACCGGGAGGGATTGGCCAAAAACCACACGTACATTTGGTAATTTTTTTAATAATTCTTTTTAAACAATACTTACCATAAAAATTGTTAATTTAGGCATCAAGTCCAGATACATATCGAGGAAAATTCAACGATATCACCCATAATAAGGAAGATTTAGCAGATATTTATGCGAATGAAATCAAAGAGATTTGCGAAAACGTCCAAAAAGATGGTAAAGGGATTTGTGCTTATATCGCTGAGAGTATGTTAAGTTGTGGGGGGCAAATCGTTCCGCCCTCTGGTTATTTCAAGAAAGTTTATGAAAACGTAAGAAAAGCTGGGGGAGTTTGCATCGCGGATGAAGTTCAAGTTGGTTTTGGAAGAGTTGGTAAACACTGGTGGGCTTTTCAAATGCAAGACGTCGTCCCTGATATTGTAACGATGGGAAAACCAATGGGAAATGGACATCCAGTTGCCGCAGTTGTTACAACACCGGAAATTGCAGAAAGTTTTCGAAAAACCGGAGTAGAATATTTTAATACGGTAAGTAAAACATTTTAATTCAATTAATCCCATTTATTTAACACATCCTTTGTTTTAGTATGGTGGTAACCCAGTTTCATGCGCAATAGCAAACGCAGTCTTTGATACCATCGAAAAAGAAAACCTTCGCGAAAAAGCCATAGTAGTTGGTGAACACCTTTTAGATTCTTGCCATCTTTTAGCGAGAAAACACAGTATAATCGGAGATGTTCGAGGATTAGGACTTTTCGTTGGAATCGAATTGGTGAAAGATCGTGAAACGAGAATCCCAGCCACCGAAATCGCTTCGTACGTTGTTAGCAGGATGAAAGAAGAACATATTTTATTAAGTTCTGACGGACCAGATTGCAATGTAATTAAATTTAAACCACCCATGGTTTTTAACAAAGAAAATGTGGATGAAGTAATAACCACTTTGGACAGAGTTTTGAAAGAAGTCAGAGAAAACACCGAATTGGATTCGTTGATTAAACTTCCGGTTATCAAATCGGAGAAGGTTATGAGTAAAGATGCAAGAAATACGTTCAAGAAACCTATTAATAAAGAGGAAACTTTGTCGATTTAAAATGTGAGATGAAAGGATGAGTATTATTATCTTCATAATATAACTGTTATTTATTACAAAAGAAAATAATTTCGATAAGGGTTATTTTTAAATTAGTTTAGGTTAAGATTTTATTGTTTAAATAAATTATATATTTTTGTATGAAAATATTTGTTTTATTAAAAGGGTAATTAATTAAGTTTTAAAAATTCGTATAAAATCGATTTCTTGGAATATGAGTATGAAAATTTCCCAAAGTGTTAATAAGAGTGTCCTCTATCCAATGAACCAACCCGTTTTGAAAAATAACTTTTAGTTTTTGAGATAACAATATTTGAAGTTTTGATAAAATTTTTGATGTTACAATTTTCAAAATTCGCAATAAAATTAATTTCTTGAAGGATCCTTGTGGAAATATCACCAATTATTAATTAAAGTATCCTCTTTTTGATGCAAAAAGCCGTTTTGAAAAATCGCTTTTAGTTTTTGAGAAATAAATTTTTGAAATGATCGATTCTCTTTTCGAATTTTGCAATTTTCGCCGATTAAATTTTAATAATTCGTATAAAATCGATTTCTTGGAATATGAGTATGAAAATTTCCTAAAGTATTAATAAAAGTGTCCTCTTTCCAATGAATTAACACGTTTTGAAAAATAACTTTTAGTTTTTGAGAAAACAATATTTCAAGTTTTGATAAAATTTTCGATGTTGCAATTTTCAAAATTCGCTATCAAATTAATTTCTTGAAGGATCCTTGTGGAAATATCACCAATTATTAATTAAAGTATCTTCTTTTTGATGCAAAAAGCCGTTTTGAAAAATCACTTTTAGTTCTTGAGAAATAAATTTTTGAAATAATCGACAATTTTTTCGAATTTCGAATGTTGCTACAAAATTTCAACTAATTAATAATTCTTCCTACTCTTGACATACAAATACAGATTTAAGACTTTTTTCTACTATTTTGATTTTCCTTTATCTTTTCTTCTCCATTCTTGATTAGACGTATGATTAGGCAACCCAACTAAAACGTATTATCGTTTTATTTTGGTAACATAACTTACATCAAACATCACGACGCTTGTTTAAATATTTCAAAAAGGACAAAAAAGAAGTTCTTCTGACAGAGAATCTACAATATAACAGAATTAAAAGCTTGCATTTTAGTTAAATTGTTATTTCTACAAATTATTAAACAAGAATCATTATTCCAATTAACATTTCATAACTATGATTCACAGATTATGAAATGAGTTCTAATTCAACACGATAATATTCCATTGTTGATGCATACGTGGTAAACATATTTGTTATAAAAAGAGCTCTAAATTCATCGAAACATTTCAACCTGTTTTAGCACACCGATATTCTGGTATGGATTAATGCGAGAATTCAAAATCGTTCCTGAAATGTACATAATAAATGAATTAAAACTAACAATAAACATTGTTGCCAAATAAACTTATCCAAAATTCATCTGCACATACCTGGATTAAAAGATAATCATCCATAAAAACTTATCACCTTAATCCAAATTATTATCAAAAAATAATAAAGTATTATTGCAATTCATAATTTGAGTTTGCACGAAATCATGTTTTTAGAATGACTCAGTTTAAACGTTAAATAATTTAAAAAATGCAAATCATCATTAAGTCGTATGTTTTCTTTATTATTTATTCTAAGTAAATTTGCGATTAATTTCGCCATAAGTTTTTGCTGTTGTAGTTCCTTCACGTTTTTCTCGCGTGAGGATAAAAAAATAAGTTTATCCAGATAAAGAATCTTTTTAATCTCACGTTTATTGTCAGAATTATTTGTTCAGTTAATTTCTAAATTACAGTGAGATAATATGTCGCATTCCGATACTTTAGTTTTAGTTCATGTTGTAAGTTACAAAAAGTTTTTTTTAAATAATTTTTAATTGATTTATTTTAAGCTGTATCGTCACGGTGAAAGAACAACCGCAAAGGGAGGGATTTATCCAAAAGATCCGCACAGATTTGTTAATTATGAACCATATGGATTTGGACAATTAACAAATGTATTAAAACAAAGTTGTATTAAATTAAAAATTAATTTCTTATTTTTTTAGGAAGGTAAAAAAACGATGTTTGAATTGGGAAATGTTTTGCGGGAAAGGTACTCAAATTTTCTTGGGGATCGTTATTTTCCCGGATTATTAGAAGCATTAAGCAGCGATATGGATCGTACAAAAGTCTCGTTACAACTAGTTTTAGCCTCGCTGTTTAAACCAACAAAAAATGAAATATGGAACGAAGACCTTTGTTGGCAACCAATCCCAACTCGTTACATCCCATTAAAACAAGACGATGTAAACAAAAAAAATCCCCCAAAATCAAAAAAATATATATAACAATCTTTCTTACAGCTTTTCTTGCCATTTCTAACCACTACTTATCGAGAACTCTACAAAACAAATCATTTAACATCACAAAAAGCTAAACAAATCTTTGAAGATTACCAAGATGTGTTTCAAATTCTTTGGGAAAAAACTGGACTGGAGATTTCAACGATTCACGATGTTTTTAAAATTCACGATGTTTTAACAACAGAAGTTCAATTCGGTTTGGATTTACCCGACTGGGCGAAACCACTTCACACCACGAAAATAAGAGAAATAGCAACTTTCGATCCCGAAATGCAACAAGATACAAAAGAATTAAAAAAATTAGCCGTCGGAAAAATGATTGGAAAAATTTGCGAAGACACTCAAAAGAAAATTCAAGACGAAACATCAAAAATTAAAATGCACATGTATTCGGGTCACGACATCAACTTAGGAAACATTTTACAAGCTTTAGGTTTAAGAAAGCCACATCTACCGAATTACGGAGCTTGTCTTGTTATGGAGATCCATAAACTCGATGGGGATTATGTGCTGAAAGTATTTTACAGATCAGATAAAAACCAAGATTTTACTCATTTAGGGTTCGATTTTGGAGAATTTATGGAGTTTGATGCTTTTAAAAAATTATCGAATGAAATAAATTTGATATAAAATCACATTATTTATTTATTTATTGTTAATATATTAATTTATGAATAATAAATTTTTAATAAATTCAATGTTAAAAATGATTTAATTGTTTCTACAATTTTTTTGTGGGAAATTTGATTCTTAAATTCTAAGTTATTATTTTAGTATTTAGTATGAAGTCATAAAAAATAGAATCCTTTTTAATACCTAATAATGAGCGGTTAATTAACGTTACTTTTCGAGGCATTGGGTAGTTTTGCAGAAGAAAAGTTTTGCTTGGAAAAATGTACGTTTAGTGAACGTTAGTTTTACTTTTCGTTTAATATTCCACAAGGATAGACACTAGACCTAGAAACATTCGGGTTTAGCCGAGTCTCTCTCAAGACGGCTAAATCCGAATGTTTCTCGTTCTAGGTCTCGTGTTAGTTCTAGTAATAGTGCTACTGTAAAACTAGAATTAACACTAGACCTAGATCTAGAAAGTTTCAGGTTTAACCGTACGTCTGAGTTCAATTAGAATATGTAACATAGTGATTTCTTATGCTAACTAGCACTATTTATCACTGTCACTACAACTAACATGAACTTCGTTATTTTACTAGTTGGTAATGGTAACATCCAGGAAACAGATAATGTTACAAAAAAACTTTTAGAACAAAAATTGTAGTAAATTTTATTCTTATCAATATTGCTCTCTTGCACTTTTGCTCTCAGATACGTCAATATCGAGAAAAATATGAAAATGTAAAAATTTTATGAATTTCGGTATTTTACTAGTTGGTAATGGCAACATCCAAGAAACAGAGAATGTTTACAAAAAAGTTTTAGAACAAAAATTGTAGCAAATTTTATTCTTAACAATATTGCTCTCTTACACTTTTGTTCTCAGATGCATAGATATCGAGAAAAATATGAAAATATAAAAATTTGATGAGTTTCGGTATTTTTTAGTTGGTAATGGTAACATCCAGGAAACAGAGAATGTTACAAAAAAACTTTTAGAACAAAAGTTATAGCAAATTTTATTCTTAACAATATTGCTCTCTTGCACTTTTGTTCTCAGATGTATAGATATCGAGAAATATATGAAAATATAAACGTTTGATGAATTTCGTTATTTTACTACTTGGTAATGGTAACATCCAGGAAACAGAGAATGTTACAAAAAAACTTTTAGAACTAAAGTTGTAGCAAATTTTATTCTTAACATTATACCTTTCTTGCACTTTTGCTCTCAGATGCGTCAATATCGAGAAAAATATGAAAATATGATGAATTTCGTTATTTTACTACTTGGTAATGGTAACATCCAGGAAACAGAGAATGTTACAAAAAAACTTTTAGAACAAAAGTTGTAGCAAATTTTATTCTTAACAATATTGCTCTCTTGCACTTTTGCTCTCAGATGCGTCAATATCGAGAAAAATATGAAAATATGATGAATTTCGTTATTTTACTACTTGGTAATGGTAACATCCAGGAAACAGAGAATGTTGCAAAATAACTTTTAGAACAAAAGTTGTAGCAAATTTTATACTTAACAATATTGTTCTCTTGCACTTTTGTTCTCCGATGCATAGATATCGAGAAAAATATGAAAATACAAAATTTGATGAATTTCGTTATTTTACTAGTTGTTAATGGTAACATCCAGGAAACAGAGAATGTCTACAAAAAAAGTTTTAGAACAAAAGTTGTAGCAAATTTTATTCTTAACAATATTGCTCTCTTGCACTTTTGCTCTTAGATGCGTCAAGATCGAGAAAAATATGAAAATATAAAAATTTGATAAATTTCGTTGTTTTACTAGTTGGTAATGGTAACATCCAAGAAACAGAGAATGTTGCAAAAAAATTTTTACAACAAAAGTTGTAGCAAATTTTATTCTTAACATTATTGCTCTCTTGCACTTTCGCTCTCAGATGCATAGATATCGNATGATGAATTTCGTTATTTTACTACTTGGTAATGGTAACATCCAAGAAACAGAGAATGTTGCAAAAAAATTTTTACAACAAAAGTTGTAGCAAATTTTATTCTTAACATTATTGCTCTCTTGCAATTTCGCTCTCAGATGCATAGATATCGAGAAAAATATGAAAATATAAAAATTTTATGAATTTCGTTGTTTTACTAGTTGGTAATGGCAACATCCAAGAAACAGAGAATGTTTACAAAAAAACTTTTAGAACAAAAGTTGTAGCAAGTTTTATTCTTAACAATATTGCTCTCTTGCACTTTTGTTCACAGATGCAAAGATATCGAGAAATATATGAAAATATAAACGTTTGATGAATTTCGGCATTTTTTAGTTGGTAATGGTAACATCCAGGAAACAGAGAATGTTACAAAATAACTTTTAGAACAAAAGTTATAGCAAATTTTATTCTTAACAATATAGCTCTCTTGCACGTTTGCTCTCAGATGCATAGATATCGAGAAAAATATGAAAATATAAACATTTGATGAATTTCGTTAGTTTACTAGTTGGTAATAGCCAAGCTCTATAGAACATAAGGTTACCCAATGCCGATTCTCCTCCTCTGAGAGGCAAGCTGGGTCATTGACATAGCTAACAACACAATACGATGCGAGGTNGAGAAAAATATGAAAATATAAACATTTGATGAATTTCGTTAGTTTACTAGTTGGTAATAGCCAAGCTCTATAGAACATAAGGTTACCCAATGCCGATTCTCCTCCTCTGAGAGGCAAGCTGGGTCATTGACATAGCTAACAACACAATACGATGCGAGGTTTAAATATTTTATATAGACTGTACCACAGTATAGGCTATCTTTTATTCAACTCTTTACTATGACTGTATCGAACCAGTGACGCCAATCTACGGGGTAATAATCGATACTACAGAGGCATAGGGAATTAGGTACCCTTATGTTCTATAGACCTTGGGTAATGGCAACATCTAGGAAATAGAGAATGTTACAAAAAACGTCTAGAACAAAAGTTGTTGCAAATTTTATTCTTAACACTTTAATTAAGCAATTTAGCCGCACGTCTCTCAAGACGGCTAAACAGTCGTAAAAAAGTTTGCAGATAGTTTAACTTTACAGGATGTTTGCAGATAGCCATCTACAGCTGCACTTTGAATTTGGAAATTATAGTTTGCTGACTGTAATCTCCAGTATACTGCTAACTATACCTGCAAACCACTGTTGTGTATCTCCATTCTTTAATGAGCCAAAATCTCTCCACAGGAGTCTTTACAGAGTGCAAGCATCCATCCAGGCCAGATGAACTGTTATGGAGTTTGTTTAAAGATACACTCTATAATAACCGTAATATTACAAAGAAATTAAATTGAATCAAATTAAGCATATTTAATATAAAGGCGGAATGTGTCAAGCTTATAGAATCGTATTTGTCTGATAGACTTCAATATAGCTCCTATTGTGGGCAAGATTCTAGCCGTTTACCAATTATACTTGGTGTTAATAAAGTATTATTATTAATCTAAAATTAATATTAGAACTACAGTGCGTTAATTATCGTACCCGACGTCATAATTGCAAGTATGCAACCAACATCACAGTAGTCAATTATACTATACTGTGATGTTGGTTGCATACTTGCAATTATGACATCGAATACGATAATTAATTAACACAGTGTAGAAACATGTTACTCTTGTTGTAACAGTCCTCTTAGATTCTACTGTCTTTATGATCAGGTTAAATATAAACAACATATTATTGCGTCATACATTTTATAATCCCACAATAAAAAAGAACTTTACAATATAACATTTTTTCAAGGCTCCGCCTCTTGGAGTTTCTTCAAATGTGACTCCTTCTTTTGCGCAACACGGTTCTTGCGTTCAGCAAGGGTCAACTTAGCCCTATTCCACCTCTTCTTCTTGGCTGGTGGTGCCCTAACCTTCTTCTCATGCGAAGGATCTGCCCTGATCGCTGCATGCGCGTTTTTGTAAATCCCTTCAATCTATAAACATCATCAAACGATTAAATTGATCAAAATCAAATTAAAATTAATTTGTATGAAAGTTTCTAAGACATCAAAATTATAAAATTTGAATCAAGATGCAATTCCTCTTTCAATATTGCTGTTGTCCAACAGCGACACAACAATCAATTAGAATATAATTATTGTAATTTTAAAGTTGGACGTAAATATAAATTTTTTTATATTAAATTATGATAATCACCTGATCGGCATTTATTCCCAACTTGATGTATTGGCTGAATTGTCTTTTAAAACCCTCAGGATCTTCTTCGCTAAGACTTCTCATGTAATCAGCAACATGTTGACCCATGATGTGGCCACGATGGACTTCTGCATTAAATGATTTGCTTTCGGCGTCATATCCAGGAAAACGTTTTAATGAATGAGGGATGTTCAAACCACCATCAACAGCTCCTTTCATTGCTGCAAAAACTCTAGCTCCAGTGGTTGTTCTTTGCAGACCAACATCCAGATAACATCTAAAACAATAAAAGATTAACATTTTAAATGAAATAAATCAAATAAAAACATAAATAACAATTAAATTTTATATCAGAGACACTATAAAATCATTAAAGTTACAAAACCCTCCTAAAAATAAACATACAACAACCAATAAAAAACTTATTAATCATCAAGTTCATTTAAAGTTAGGTTTTGTTAATCAGATGACGCGCATGTGTCTAAAATTCATCATAAAAAAAATCAAATAAAATCAAAATAAAATGATTTTGTTACCTAAAAGCACCTGGTCCATCATCAACATTTTCTACATTAAATTCTTCTCCATTAACCTCGGTGGTACCTTCATACAAAGTATCCAAACCAATTTGTTTTAATAAACGGCGAGCAAGTAATAAACCAGTGCAATAAGCTGCAGCGTAATTGGTGAGACCAACTTTAATTCCATATCTGGGTAATTCATGGGAATATGCAGCGCAAACGATTTTATCGCCCTCAATGCGGGAGTACGCGATTTGGCAGGTGATATCCTTGTTTGAAAGTCTAACAATCAAACGATACTTAGGGGTGTTGTATTTGTTCTTATCTTGAACAATTAGGCGTTTTCTAGCATAGTAGTCAGTTTTACCTTCACGACGCCTCTTGAATTTTACTTGGAATCGCTTGAAGTATTGTTTATTCTTTACTACTTTTACGAATCCCTACACAAAAAAAAAGTTAGGTTAGGTTATAACCTCAAAATATTTTTCATAGAAAATAAGGATTTATTAGCAAATTTTTAAGTGGATATCATTATATATCTTAATTTTAGTTGAATTATTGTTATAAATTCGATTATATTTAAAAATACTGTTGTTAAATCCACGAAAACAATAACATTTGACATGTCGGGATTTTATCCACAAACATCGGACGTAAAAACGATTTATTTCGGATTAAATACATAAATATTATATACTACATACTTTAAAAAAACACACAGTGATAATATTTAAAAGAGTTTACTCACCATTTTCTTTGATTTTTAAATAATAATCACGGACGGACCATGCAACGATAAACGATGCTCTCGGGTCCAAATAAGAAGAATTACGCGCATGTGCGGAAGTACCACTACACAAAATTAACCGCCAAACTCAAAAATTTTTAAAGAAATTAATTGAATTTACGTTTTATATTTATATCAACACCAAAATTGTATTATTTAACGTTATAATTAATAATTATTTCATTTTATTATTAAATTAAATCGAATTAAAAATTAAATATTATTAAAACTAAAAAGAGATAGACATAGATGTTGGGTTCATTAAAATACATTTAACTTAATCGCTATACGTATGATCACATACTTAATCTTGTTCGATTTTAAATTATAAAAATGGTAAGAATTCGAAATTAACTTTATTTTTAACGTAAAATACAAATTATAATTAATTTTTTAAGACATTACTTGGAGCGCAACTCGTAATAACGTTAATTATGATTTCAATCATTCATTAATAAATCAGGAATAATTTATCAATCGTATTTTACACAGTCGTAATTTTTAGTAATAAAATAAAAAAGTCTACGTGTTTTAAACAATCATTTAATTAAATAAATTCGGATATTAATAGAATTGTTAAATTTTATTTGCTGTCATTTTTGTTGACAGTTAAAATTATGTCAAAAAAGTATTACAAATTGAATTTTTTTGGGGCCACATGGTTTTTATTTCCCAAAATTTTTCATTTTACTTTTAAACATACATTTTGTTACAAAAATTTCGACTAAATTAATTTAATTAAGGATTTTAATAAAATTAATTTTACGGTGATTTGGGTTGCCTATGTTTATTAAGATAAAATTTGTTAATTTATTTATCTCTTTTATTATTTTAGATATTTCTAAATAACTTTTTATACCATATTGCTCTCTAAAAATCTATTAAGTAATTTTATGAATTAATTGCTATAATTTCTGGTCGATAATTTGAAAAAAGAAGCTGGGAGAATCACCAACATTGATTTACAAAAAAAGGACATCAATAGGAATGATTGATAAAAAAATACAATAAAAAAACTCTACGTGTTTTAAACAACCATTTAATTAAATAAATTCGGATATTAATTAAATTGTTAAATTTTATTTGCTGTCATTTTTGTTGACAGTTAAAATTATGTCAAAAAAGTATTACAAATTGAATTTTTCTGGAGCCACATGGTTTTTATTTCCCAAAATTTTTCATTTTACTTTTAAACATACATTTTGTTACAAAAATTTCGACTAAATTAATTTAATTAAAGATTTTAATAAAATTAATCGAACGGTGATTTGGGTTGCCTATATGTATTAAGATAAAATTTTTATTATTTTAACCGCCGAATTTAAAAATTTTTAAAGAAATTAATTGAATTTACGTTTTATATTTATATCAACACCGAAATTGTATTATTTAACGTTATAATTAATAATAATTTAATTTTATTATAAATTAAATCGAATTAAAAATTCCATATTATTAAAGCTAAAAAGAGATAGACATAGATGTTGGGTTCATTAAAAATACATTTACCTTAATCGCTATACATATGATCACATACTTAATCTGTCAAATAATTGCTCGTCCAAAAATAATTTTTAGGTTATTTAGGTTACTTCTAAAAATAATAGCTCGATTTTAAATTATAAAAATGGTAAGAATTCGAAATTAACCTTATTTTTAACGTAAAATACAAATTATAATTAATTTTTTAAGGCATTACTTGGAGCGCAACTCGTAATAACGTTAATTATGATTTCGATCATTCAGAAATTGGGGCCATACTTTTCGTTCGCAAAATTTTTGCTCTGCTCAACGGGTCTTGTAAGATATTTGTATCCCACGGATGATGAATTAAAAGAAGTTGCGAATATACCGAAAGATAAACATAAAAATCGGAAAGGGAAGCAACAAAATGGGAAAGTCGACTCGTTTCATATTCCGAGGAGTCTTGAAATTGATTTAAAAACGGCTAAAGTTACCCAATTAGATGTTATACATCTCAGGTTTTATGCTGAATACCAATGGCTGGTTGATTTTGCAATTTACTCTTGTTTGGTTTATGTTATTACTGAAATTTATCAAAACTTTTTTTCGTTAAAAGATGAAATGAATTTAAGTATGATGTGGTGTACTTTAGTATTAATATTTGCGATGTATCCTATTTTAATTACTTATAATTATTTAATATCATTATTTTCCTTAGTAAATATATAGTAAGTTATTATTTTCTTTAACTGTTCAATATTTCAAAGCAGATGAGTCTGTTGGTGAAAGATCAACATGTTTGGTAATGGGTTTTGTTTATTTATTAATTGCAATGATGATTTTAATTGTGGATGAAAATATTTTGGAGATTGGATTACAAACTGCTTATAAAAGCTTCAATGACAGTGCTTCCACTTTTTTAAATCAACAAGGTTTAAATTCTTCGTAAGTTATTAAAAATAATTTAAAATTAGTTTTTATAAAAAATTTTTTAGAGGTCCTGCTTCAAAAATAATCATCCAATTCTTTTTGGCGATATTTGGTGCTTTATTGGGAGCTGTTTTCACATTTCCTGGTTTAAGAATAGCCCGAATGCATTGGGATTTATTAAAACTCCATAGAAAGAATAAAACGATTCAAACTTTATTAAATTTAAGCTTTGCACTACCATTTCTTTTAGTTGTCGCTTGGATAAAGCCGTTTTCAAGGCATTATTTAACTGTTAGAATTTTTTCTGGGATGACTTCTCCTTTGTAAGTTAAAGAAGTAAAAATTTCATCAAATTCGTTTTCTTTTTTTAGATTAAGCAATGATTCATTTGAAATTTTAAGACTGATTTTTATTATTTTAACTGTTATCATAAAAATAGTTTTAATGCCAGTTTATTTACAAGCATATTTGGACATGGCTTATCACAGATTGGAAGAACAAAAAAAAGAAGCTGGGAGAATCACCAACATTGATTTACAAAAAAAGGTTCTTTTTATTATTGCAATTATTTCTAAATGTTAATAATTTCATTTAAAATGTTTTAGATTGCTGCAGTTTTTTATTATTTATGTGTAGTCACTTTACAGTACATCGCTCCTTTAATATTAATAATTTATTTTGCATTTATGTACAAGACTTTGGGAGGATTTAGTTGGAATGGTTTGTTGGGAAATCAAAATTTGGAGGAGTGTCCAGCTAATTCCTTCGAACAAACCAACTTAGAGGGAGAAGATAATATACAAAATTCAGCTCATCAGTTTCATTTAGCAATTGAAAATTTAAAAAATGTAAAAATCAAATTTTATTTTATTCAACTTTAAGATTTATTTCATGATCTTTTTTTGACAGGTGTTTACCCCACAAGTTTTTAAAGGACTTTTTGGTTTTGGTACTTGGTGGAGTTGTTTTTTATATTTTACTACCACATCAATAGGAATGATTTATCAATCGTATTTTACACAGTCGTAATTTTAAGTAAGACAATAAAAAACTCTACGTGTTTTAATTAAATAAATTCGGGTATTAATTGAATTGTTAAATTTTATTTCCTGTCATTTTTGTTGACAGTTAAAATTATGTCAAAAAAGTATTACAAATTGAATTTTTCTTTAGCCACATGGTTTTTATTTCCCAAAACTTTTCATTTTACATTTAAACATACATTTTTTTACAAAAATTTCGACTAAATTAATTTAATTAAAAATTTTAATAAAATTAATCGGACGGTGATTCGGGTTGCCTATATTTATTAAGATAAACTTTGTTAATTTATTTATTTCTTTGATTCTGTTATTATTTTAGATATTCTATAGATGTGTTGATAGGGTGAATTGCTTTAAAAGGAATTAACGAAGACTTTTGAAACGCTGAATTTCTGATTCAACTAGAAGATGTAATGGAAAAATGATTTGGTAACGATTTTGTTACAAAAAGAAAAACANTGATTCAACTAGAAGATGTAATGGAAAAATGATTTGGTTTAATTCAATTCTGACATAATTTTATGTCAAAAAAGTATTACAAATTGAATTTTTCAGGAGTCACATCGTTTTTATTTCCCAAAACATTTCATTTTACATTTAAACATACATTTTATTATTAAAATTTCGACTAAATTAATTTAATTAAAGATTTTAATAAAATTAATCGGACGGTGATTCGGGTTGCCTATATTTATTACGATAAAATTTGTTAATTTATTTATTTCTTTGATTTTGTTATTATTTTAGATATTCTATAGATGTGTTGAGAGGGTGAATTGCTTTAAAAGGAATTAACGAAGACTTTTGAAAAGAATCTCTGATTCAACTAGAAGATGTAATGGAAAAATGATTTGGTTTAATTCAATTCTGACATAATTTTATGTCAAAAAAGTATTACAAATTGAATTTTTCAGGAGCCACATGGTTTTTATTTCCCAAACATATTTAAACATACATTTTTTTACAAAAATTTTGACTAAATTAATTTAATTAAAGATTTTAATAAAATTAATTTTACGGTGATTTGGGTTGCCTATATTTATTAAGATAAAATTTGTTAATTTATTTATCTCTTTGATTCTGTTATTATTTTAGATATTCTATAAATGTGTTGATAGGGTGAGTTGCTTTAAAAGGAATTAACGAAGACTTTTGAAACGCTGAATTTCTGATTCAACTAGAAGATGTAATGGAAAAATGATTTGGTAACGATTTTGTTGCAAAAAAAAAACACAATATAGAAGAATTTTATGGTGACATTTATTGTAAACATGTTATATAAATAAAACGTAAATCATTAATATGAAACAGTTATTATTTTTTTTAATAATAATTATTTATTAATATTTTCTAGGCAAAAGCGAAAAGAAATGTTTGCAATTTTCTATTTATTATTCACTTTCTTTTGGAAGGCACTCTTCTAAAATTTATTTAAATATTAATTCATATAATTTCTTTTTTATTTAAAGGAACACATCGATTATTATTGTTGGATTATTCTTCTTGGGATATGTCGATAGAAAAATCGATGTAAACTCTCGATTTCGCCCATTATTTTGTTACACATCGTTATCGCTACGTAATATGGAAGAACTATGTTTGCATAAGATTTTTTTTAACGTTGGACATAGTTATTAATATTACGATTATTTATTATTAATGTTTTTTACCTGTATTTTTAAAGATAAAATAAAATTTACATAAAAAATAAAGTTTCTTTTTTTTGGTGTTCATGTTTAGTTTTTAAGATCTATTTTTTTTAATTAGTTTTCCTAAAAGCTAATTAACTAATCCTCATATTTGGCTAGTGACTAGATAATTACGCTAAAAGATTAATCCTGAAATTATTAAAAATTAATTTAATCTTATTATTAATTATTATAACTCCATTTATTGGCAATGCGCTTAATTTGTTAGCATAGTTGTTTTTTTAAGATTTTTTTACACTCAATTGCCTCTTTTATATTTTTAAAACTGGCCAGTATGAAGGTAATGGATAATTTTAAATCCTTTCAACGTAATTTCCGGGAAATGTTCCCAAAGCTCCTGTTCTATCGCTGGCTCCAACAAACCAACCATCATCGCATTTTTCCAAAACGTAAACCGTATCGCCTTCGTTTAATTCGATTTCATCCTCATTTTGTGGTTTGTACTTATACAGGGCACGATATCTATAAAATAACGGTTTAAAATTAATTAAAATTAATTTTAAAATAATAAACAACATTGAGAAACAGAAAAGAATTTTTAGTATACATATAAACCTACCAAGGTTAAAATAATTTACTTTGTTAGTAATATTTTGTAATAATCACTACAAAAAAAATTAAAGAAAAAGTATTAGATTTATTTAAATAAAATGTACTTACGGTACATAAGGTTCTGATTGCGTATCAACGTGTAACTCTTGATTTAGAGGATTTCGTTTCAAACTTCCCGTTATTTGAACTGGTTTAGCATGGTAAGTTAATCCCCCATTTTGATGGCCGTTTTGTTGAGTATTTTGAGTGGTTGGCACGTAATTATGCGATCCCATTGATTCTTTGCCACCTAAAGATCCATTCAAAAGTAAAGAATGAGCGGCCGGGGCCGCAACTGGTTTAGATTGAGCCGGAACTTGAGGTGCTTCACTCGGATCTATCAACACCTCAACATAGGAGACTGGAAAAATTCCTTTTCTTCCACCAATCTTCCCTTCAAACCAATTATCATCGACTCTTCTAGTTATTACAACAAGCTCTCCTTTTGCTAACGAAAGTTCTAAATGAGTTTGTGCGATGAAGTTGTATTTAGCACGAGCTTGACCTTCGTGAGATTTTCTTATTGTTGATTTTGAACCGTCATAAGGAATTATCTGTAAAGAAAAAATCGTAATTGTTACAAGTTACAAGGTCAGCAGTTAATTAGAAACTTGTCGCCGATGTCTGTGTATAGAAAGTTTATTTATTTCTTTTTTTAGGTTTGAAAACTTTTCCTAAAACTTTCTCTTTATTTTATTTTAAACCTACCTCAACATAATTCGCGGGAAATAATCCAACCATAGCGTTGTGTTCACCTTCGTACCAGTTTTTATCGATTTGTCTTCGAATATAAATAATATCACCTTTCTTAAACGTTAATTCCCTTGCTGTTTGTCCAACGAAAGTGTAAAGTGCTTTTGCTACTAATCTAGGTTCAGGGGATTTTGGCCTTGGTTTTAATTTCGGACTATAATCATCTATAAAATCATCGTAGCGATTTAAAGGAATCGGAGATTTTTGTGATGGTATAAAATTATCTGTGTGTCGTCTATTATTCATATCTTGAAGCTCCTAAATAAATAAAATTTGTGATAAAAAAGACATATGCGAAGTTAGCCCCCAATTAGATAGGATTTTTGATTATAACAAGAGAACCAGTCAACCGATTTCGATAAACAATGTCTCATTCGAAAGCTTAATCTTTGACCAATACGAAAGTGGAAATTCGAAATCTCTTTCGAATTTCGCTAAAACGCCAAAATAATGCGAAGGTACACGAAAATAACACAAAAATAACCTTTTTTAAGTGGTGATAACTTGTAAACGATGTACAGGGTGTCCAAATTTCGATGGGTTTGCAGGGTATCTGAGCTATTTTTTTGTGAAACTTACAATGGCGCAAACCAAATTTTCATAACCCTCTTCGTTTTTGATATACAGGAAGTGTTTGAAATTTACTCCTGTATCTCGGCTATCCGGAAACTTAGTAAAAAAGTAAAAACGGGTTCTAATAGATTTTTTCACGTGGAATCCAATGGTGCACGTAGAATTTTTCTAGTCATCACGGTTTTTGAGTTATAAACACAACTCAAATACTGAATACTCAACTTCTAAAATACTTAACTCTTTATAACTCAAAAACCGTGATGACTAGAAAAATTCTACGTGCACCATTGGATTCCACGTGAAAAAATCTATTAGAACCCGTTTTTACTTTTTTACTAAGTTTCCGGATAGCCGAGATACAGGAGGTGTCTGAAAATCGTAAATTTCAAACACTCCCTGTATATCAAAAACGAAGAGGGCTATGAAAATTTGGTTTGCGCCATTGTAAATTTCACAGAAAAGTAGCTCAGGTTCGCGAAAGCCGCAACTTTCTATCTTTCATAATAACTGAGATACCCTGCAAACCCATCGAAATTTGAACACCCTGTACAGGGTGTCCCAATTTCGATGTCTGCATAGGCTATCTCCGAAACTAAAAGAGATAGAAAAAAAGTAGCTTATGTCAATCTAAGATTAGAATTTTGTAGATGATATTTAGAAAAATTAAATAATCTGCTGTTTGTTCAAAATGTCATCTGGACCAATGAAGTCTTTGAGTGTTCAAAGAAGGTTGGGGTTCAATGTATGGTGTGCCCTTTTAGATAATGGAATTTTGGCATATAGTATCTACCATAAAAACTTAAACTCAGGTAAT